GTTTCATAGAAGTCCTATGTTGTATGTCTGAAGAATGCTCCTCTCTTGCTGGGTTATACTTCATTTCTTTTTCCTCGTGTTCACTGTCTGAGATATTGTAGCTTCGTTATAAGATAACACCCTATTGTTATATATCCGTGTCCCAGACCCGTGACTCACTGATTGTGTCGGCATGTTAAAGGCGGGTTGGTGCCTATTTATAAACTAGTTCCAGCCCTTGGGCATTGATTTCCCCTTTCACTTTTCCTCTGTCCCTTCAACGGTTCCGTTGCCCACCACCTTGCGCTTATCCTGTGTTCTTCCACCTAACCTGGTTTTGCTTTTCCTCTTTTCAGGGAGACCCTTCCGGTGGAACTCGACAATGTCGCTTTCGGCGCGGCCCCAGCGACGCAGCCTGGCCGTCAGGATCAATAGGAGCCAGTCATTTGCAGGTGTCAATTCTACCCAGGACAAAGGCTTCAGGTAGGCTCAGGAAAGGCTTCTTGGATGGGATAGGGTCAGGGCACGCTTAGGATGAGGCCTGGAGTTGTGTGGTGCTCAGCTGGCTAGTCTGGCTTTGATAACTGACTTCTTTTCTATTCTCCACCCCAGTTTTTTAAAAAGTGGTACACAAATGCATATATCTCCAATTAGTTTGCATAACGACTCTTTGCTGGCATCCCGTTTTCTTTCAAAGAGGTGGTGTTGACCTGTAAATCCAAACCGAGGCGTAGGGCTTGAATAGTGGAAGAGGATCCCCTTTTTCTGCATCACCTCACATTTTTACTCGATGTCATTCCCTGAGGCTGTGTTCTGAATGCCTTGGACTTCAGAGGCTGGGCCACAAGACAAGGCCCTCTCAGTGGTGGCACCCTTCTCTGGAGACATTTCCCAGGCACCCACTCATGTTTACCTCAGCGCCAAGTTAAAACTATTGTAAGTGAAAGAGGTTTTAATGGGTGGATTGACAGCCCTCCTGCTGTGGCTGATTGGTTGGAGAGCCAGTTTGGTGTAGTGGTTAAGTACGCGGATTCTAATCTGGGAGAACTGGGTTTGATTCCCCACTCCTCCACTTGTACCTGGCTGGATGACCTTGGGCAAGCCGTAGTTCTGATAAGATCTGTTCTTGAAAAAGAGCCGTTTCTGTCAAGAGTTCTCTCAGCCCCGCCTACCTCACAGGCAGTGTTCCCTCTAAGCTGAGTTAGTGTGAGCCAGCTCACAGTTTTTTAGACTCCGGCTCACAGATTTTTATCTCAGCTCAGGGAGGATGGCTCCAGAGCAAACTAAATTTATGCAGCAGACAAATCACTTGCTCACAACTTTAATGCCAGTGGCTCACAAAGTGGAATTTTTGCTCACAAGACTCCACAGCTTAGAGAGAACATTGCTCACAGGGTGTCTGTTGTGGGGAAGGGAAAGGAGTTTGTAAGCCGTTCTGAGGCATCCACAAAGAGGGCTGTCTTAACCTGGCTCCGAAAAGATGGCACTAGGGATGGGCACGAACCGGTTCACGAACCTAAATTCGTGATGAACTGGGCCATGTTCATGGTTTGCAAATTGAGGTTCACGCCACTCCACTGCCACAACCCTCCCAGGTGGCTTTGGGAGGTTTGTTTGGAGTAGTGGTTAAGTGCGCAGACTCTAATCTGGGAGAACCGGGTTTGATTCCCCACTCCTCCACTTGCACCTGGCTGGATGACCTTGGGCAAGCCGTAGTTCTGGCACAGCTGGTCTTGAAAAAAGAGCAGTTTCTGTCAAGAGCTCTCTCAGCCCCGCCTACTTCACAGGGTGCCTGTTGTGGGGAGGGGAAGGGAAAGGAGTTTGTAAGCCGCTCTGAGACTCCTTTTGGGTAGTGAAGGGCAGGGTATAAATCCAATCTCCTCTTCCTCCTCCTCCTCCTCCTCCTCTTCCTCCTCCTCCTCTTCTTCTTCTCCTTCTCCTTCTCCTTCTTCTCCTCCTTCTCCTCCTTCTCCTCCTCCTCCTCCTCCTCTTCCTCCTCCTTCGTCTTCGTTTTCTTCTATTTGGATTTAGTTCTTATATACGGGGGCATTCTCTCAGTTATCCATTTCGTAGCTGCCTTGAAGTCAGTCCTGTGGAAAGGCAGAATACTGAAGGTGGCTGTAGGGACTTTAGGGGTCTCCTTTGGAGTCTGCCGACCTCCAGCTACCAACTGGAATTTATTCTTGCTTCTGTTCATCATGATGGAAGAACTAGGATCTTGGCAAAGGAGATCCATCTGGCAGCAAGAAGCCCTACCCAACGTCCTTTCAGGATTCTGATATGTTGCAGGGTGCTGCCAGAATGTCCTCAAAAGCTTCTGCAATCATAAGGAAAAGATTACCTGAAAGGGGGTGGAATCTTTGGGTGAAAATATGGTGACGTGGGCTACGGCTGGCTGCTTATCTTTCCCTGACCCATGGACTCCACTCACTTTGCTTTAGCCATCTTTCTGGAGGCGCCTCTACCTGTGCAAATGTCCACTAATGTTTGCTACCAGCGTGGTAGTTCCACATGTCTTCTTGGACTCTTTCCCAGGTTCCCCCCCTCCCTCGTAGGCCCAGTCCACACATTAACATAAAAAGTGGTTTACAGCTATCTGAACAAGCCTCTCTGGTCCCAGGAGCTCATGCACTTTGTACGTGGCCAGAAAATTAATTCCTTCTGCTTTGGTGGCAACGCATCTGAACTGGCAGACTGTTTGGCTTGTGTTTTCCATGGCCGCCAGGATTTCAAACTGTGGTTAGGCTGTGGCTGCCAGGGAAAGTGCAAAATTTCGCTTTGCTGGTTCAGACGTAACAGAAAGTGATGGGTTTGCTCCAAAGCAGGAAATACCTAATAATTTCTTTAGGTAAAAGTGAAAGGGGTATTGGGAAGCAGAGTTACTAGTTACGGAAGGTCTTATTTGTTTATTGACTTAATTTATAGTCAGCCATTTTCTCTGAGTCTCAAGACAGATTACATCTGAAAAACAGTACAGTGACAATGGTATAATTATATGTACGTATGTAAGTAACGTCGAATCATTACTGGTTTACAGTAACCCAACCAGGGGTTTTCAAGGCAAGTGAGAAGCAGAGGTGGTTTCCCATTGCCGTCTTCTGCATCGTCTTTCTGGGCAGTCTCCCATCCAAGTACCAACCCTGCTTAGCTTCTGCAGTCTGACTAGATCTGGCCATCCCATGCTACCTTCCCTCCACAGTTATTTATATATACAACCCACAGATTTAGAGAATGCACTAAAAACACCATAAAATCCTGACAGTAAAAAAAGGAATTACAAGAATCTAGAACAGTGCAGTGAAACGTTATATTGCATGCAATCAGCAATGTAATAAATATGCAATAAACATAATATAATACATGTCTTTGAACTCCATGGGCAATTACCTATGTAGCCTTATTCACTTCGTAAAAATGCCTTCCTGCACAATTCCATTATTTACATTTTATAGAATGCTTGGAATGTGAGACTCCTCCAGACCTTGTCAGTTAAGGACACTCCACACAGAGCATTTTCAGGGTCAGCTTTGCTCAGATGAGCAGAGTTGTTGCAGTGGAGCATATTGGGAGAGGCAGTCCTGCAGATATGCAAGTCCCACCCCATGAAGGGCTCTGTAAGTGATAACAACCTTGACTTGAACCCCATAACTAATGGGTAACCAATGGAGCAACTGCAGGATAATATGTGTACTTTACCTAGCTCCTATTAGTAATTGAGCTGCAGCATTCTGTACCAGCTGGCGTTTTCAAGGGCAGACCCCTGTAGAGTGTGTAACAGTAGTCTAGCTACAGTGTTTCCATGCCATGGATCCATGTGGCTGATTATGAGCAGTCTTCTGCTACTTCACAAATCAACCATGCTAAGTGTACGATGACTTCTCAAGGTTGGAGATGTGTGCAGTGAGAGGTGAGGGGTGACATGATAGAGGTTTACAAGATTATGCGTGGGATAGAGCAGGTAGAGAAAGAAGTACTTTTCTCCGTTTCTCACAATACAAGAACTCATGGGCACTCAATAAAATTGATCCAACATTGGCTTCTCTTATGTTCTTAGTGCACTCCAAGGTCAGTGCTATAATTCATCTTGGAACCAGATTCCTTCATACCATGGGGTGTGTGAGGAAGGAATGACCAAAAAGAAACTGGGTAGATGGGAGGGATGTCCCTTTCTTTATGCAGCAATGAAACAGAGAGGAAGAGGACTATCAAAGAAAGCTCATTACCCCCTTAATACCCTCTGCTGCAATGCCTGTGGCCAGCACCTGCTCACTTGGATGTAGGTCTGAGTAAGGCAGACAACAGAAGAGGGGCAGGATTTCTTTTAGAAAGCAGCAGGGAAGAATCTTTAAATTTTCCCAGCCCCCACCCCCTCTTGCCTCCAATTTATTCACACTTGTTTTGCAAATTGCTGTTTTGATTTGCCGGATGGCTCTAAAACACCAGATTGCTTTCAAATATTTTATTGGGTTTCTGCATTCTATCTTGGAAGATATGAGAGGGAACGGTACCCATTGGCTTGGCAACTGATGCCATCTGAACCGTCATAGTTTGGAATCTGTCAGCTGCTGAATGTTCCAAATTGTCATTCGAATTCCAGCTGTTAGAATACTGGTTATTGGTTTCTTGCTCTTTAAAGGGAGTAGGATACAGTCTCTAAGATACTGGATGCCTTTTTTCCCTTTTGAAGTAAACTTCTGGTCCTTAAGATCCCAATCCAATGTATTACCTGGTGGGGGTTTTGTTGTTGTTCTTGCAGGAACTTCCCTGCATTCAGCACCCCGACAGTCTCCAGGAAATCTAGCTCCAGAGTCAGTAGGATGTTTTCAATGTCTCACAAATCCCCTCCACCCAAGGTGCCCCAGCCAGAGCGACTTGATGAGGTGTATGAAGCGCTCAAGAAAGGAATAACGTAAGTCATGCTGCACCCCTCGGATCTCCCCCCCCCCTTTTATGTTGAAGCTAGTGGTGGAATGAAGGATGTTTCACCTTGATGCGGCCTATGCTGTGCATGGGTCAGCATTAGGCTTACCAAACGCCGGCGGGGGAAATCTATTTCCTGGCAGGATGCGTGCCGCGGGGGACGGCTGTGCGCGCTGCACCCGCCGTCGCCAGGATGTGACGCTCCGCGTTACCCTGGCAACGGGACCCAAACAGCCCCGTTGCCAGGGTAACGCGG